CAGTGCTGGCGCGGCTCCTCTACGCAACGCTGGCAGACGGTCGACCATGCAGTGCTGGCGGTCGACCAGGCTAGCAGCAGAGTTGCTAGGTGCCTGATGTACTCTGTTCTGTCAGTACTTGTTGAATTCATTCTGTAATTTCGACTTTGCTAGTGGGAACTCTTGCCGATTTTCTCTCGTAAATGCGCAAGCACTAAGAAAGCAAAGCTACAAGAAGCTACTCCTAGTAGTTCGTGCCAACCCCCGTAGTCTAGCTCACTACTGTTGTAGAGTGAATCTCCGCAATGTCACGGCTTGGAAGGTTGAGGTGCTAGACGTATGGGGTGGCGGCGTCGGTGAATGTGATGACGTAGTTGTATGCTCCCTGTCTGCTTTCGCGAGCATACAGGATGTCGCTGTAGACTTTCTCCAGTGGTGCGTATGCTGGTGCGCTCGGGTTGTGGTGAGAGACGAACGGCTGATGGGGTAAGTCGGCTTCAGGGCAGGTAAAGCATGTTCCGTGAACTCGTTGAAGTTCTCTGCCGTCGTGTAGAAGTAGTGAGTCCTTGTCGAGAACTCCTTCTCGGATCGTATTGTTCATTGTTGTGTTGCTCGGGTGTCCCATCCTTGCATGCGATATTGATTCGCTGGCATGATGTCCAGATGATCGTCTGTATAGGTCGGAGTTGGAGTAAAAACTCGCGGTGAAGTTGGCGCTTCTGTGGACTTCGCGTGGGGTGGGGGTTAGCTGTTGTGCGGGAGTCGGTGGAGAGTCGTCGATGTGGACTGATGCTGTTGAGGGACTGGCGATTGGTGTCGTTGTCGATGTTGTCTCTGCTGCTGCCGGTGTTGTCTCTGCTGCTGCTGGTGTTGTATCTGCTTCTACTGGTGTTGTCTTTGCTCCTGCTGGTGTTATTTGTGCTTTTGTCGTTGTCTGTCGAATTGTTGCTATCGCTCTCGTCCGTTCTGCTTCAGGTATGGTGTGCGAGTACCAGAAACCTCCACGACTGAAGTCGGGGTCGAGATCCGGTGGATGTGTCCACGTGGTGAAGTTGACTATCGCGTCGCTGTCGGCGGTGCGTTGATCTGGAACGAAGTCGTGGACGAAGACGTTGTTCTTTAACATTGCTTTCTTGATGTAGAGTCCACCCTTTCCGTTGAATAGCTTGAACTCCTGAGTGGTGCTGTCGGCTTCAAGATGAATGCCCTCGCCCTGAGTTGACTGACGCTGAGTAAGTTGTAGCCGAGCCCTTCTGCTATCAAAACCTTTGACATCGGTAGGATGACATTGGTTTCTCGGGATTGAAGTTGAACTACTCCTTGTCGTGGTGGATGCAGGTTCTGGTTGTTGGCGACGGTGATGACAGCTTCGCAGTTAAGACGTTCCCGTTGAACGAAGCGACACGAAGAATGCAGCAGCTGTCCAAGAACAACTATCTTTCCTGGACGGTTCGCTTTGGGCGATGGCTGCGTACGTTGGGTTCGGCTCCAGTGATTCGCGGCGAGGAGTACGTTCGTCGAGTGATTCTTATGGCGAATAGGTCGGTGGTGATCCGGTGACGCAGGAGTCTGTTCTTGCCATGCAGCTCACAATGTTTCTTGTGCCTTGTGCAAGTTGTGTCGTTGTTCTGCACTTGGTTGGAGGGATGTGGCTGTTCAGAGGCCACTTGACGGGTCGAAGCTGGCGTCGCGGTGGTGTTGACTATTGCTGATTTGGTAGTGGATGCGGGAGTGACCAGACGTTCGGTAGAGATGACAAAATGGTGGTACATGTCTTCGTGCTTGAGGCTCGTTTTGTCGGTTGTTGTTCTTATAGAGTCGTTGAGTATGGAAGGCGAATTCTGGTGCTGACGTTCTTTTCTTGTGACGTTCTTCGTGCAGATCCATATCTTGCTGCTCGGCGTGAATATCAGAGCAGAGGGCTGCTTTGAAGATCTTTCTGTGGGCTCGGAGAATGGCTCGAGTGGAGCACCACTGAGGACCGAGGCCAGTGATGACGACAATGACGAAGGCTTCTTCGGATATCGATCCTCCGCATCGAAGGAGTCTGTCGCGCAAACCGCGACCGCGACTGATATACGTCATTCTTTTTTTCGCCGGGTTTCATTTCCACTGTTGTCAGTTGTGCCATGAGACAACTCTGTTTAACGCTGTCGGTTGCCTGATACAGGTTCTTCAGGTGGTTGTACGCGAGCTTAGTGGAGTTGCCGTATCCACGATAAGACCGGATATTCTGCTGCTCGTTTGGCGTTATGTTTCGCAGGAGTATTGTGTATGCCATTAGCGACTGATACGTGTACTGCTGCTTGTCGTACTGTGTCCCGTGCGTTGGGTATGGCAGGGAACCGTCGACGAATTCAAGGATTTGAGCGCCCTCCATCATTAGCTTGAACTCGAACGCCCTGGTATAGGTTTCCTCCCATCGAATGGTATTGATGTTTGCAGTTTCAGAACATGTGCAAACTGTGACTGCATCTGAAGCGCATCCAGTGTCCTTGTTTCTTGTCCAGGTGGCGGCCGGTTTGGCATGAAGCTGATGGAGCCGCGTTGAGGCTCGTATGGAGCAGATGTAGGCTGCTGCTGATTTCCGCGTGCAAAGGATGAGTCGTCGAGACTCATGGGAGTGACGCCATTAGCGTTGTCGCTGTTGTTTGATTGCGCAGGTGCTGCTTGCTATTGTTGTTCGTAAAATTAAGGACATGAAGGAGAAGAACTTCTCCATCATGCTTGGGTCGAAGCCGGTTGCCTGGTACGCAGGAGTTTCAGTATACTCAGCAGTTGGTCTTGTTACCATACCTCCCTCTGTTTGCAGTCCAGAGGCTGGAGGTGGAGTAGGAGTAGTGCCGGGAGATCCGTTGCCATGCCTTTTATTGTTGTAGGATTTTTTAAAGAGTCGAATCTTGCCTTGTTTGCTCTCATACCATGTTGAGTTGAAAAAGGCCCTTAGGATCGTTTCAAGGCTAAGACTTTGAGTAGAGATGTAATTGCGGAAGCGTTCTTAGTGGGTTGGTTGAACCACCTTGAGCTAGTATGTGAGAACAAGATGTGTTGATTAAAGCAGAGTAATACAAGCAGATTAAGATTACAGGGAAATGAAAAGGTGCGACTAAATGTTGCTTTTGCTGTTGCGGTTCGATACAGCGACGACTCAGGCAACTGCTCAAGATCGAATCAGTTGTGTGTCCTTGCTGTCGCGCTGCCTTTCGACGAGTCAGAGGTCGCTGACCTTTGACTTTCACTCAACCTCTTGCTGTTACATTTTGTCAACCTCTTCGGTTGACTCGCTGTTGCTTCGCTGTAGTTCGCCTCGTTTGCAGCTCGGTGTTCCGACACATCAGAAGCGTGAATTACATATTTCCAACAAATAGGAGTGTCGAAAATGTTGACCTAGGTCATAGAACTCGGGATTCAACTCAGGCGTTTTTGGGTCACCCAACCAACATTAGGAAGAATGAGCCATTTTTGGCCATCTTGACCCACGGGTTTTAATAGACGGGTAAACTTCAACACACTGGTAATGTATTCTACTGATCCAGCATCTCGTAGTTATATGGCTAGTATAGCAATTGACAAAAATACTAAGTTGTGAAGATTCCTGTTAACCATATATAAGTACCTAACCCTAAAAGGGTTGTATATAGGCTACCCCATTACAGCCTACAAACATATAAATTAGTTTTGACACACCCCCATAGGCAAAGTGAGGGATAGCAAGAACAAGCAAAGCTCAGGGTGGATAACAAATTCACCACAAGCAAATGGTCACAAGACCAGTTCACATGCACGGTTATAAAGAGCACATGTAGTAAAGTGATCACAACCTAGCAAGTGTAAGCATGCAGGCATATATATAAAGATCGCTGTACAAGGCAAAGTCAAGCAGTAAGCAAGCGAGGCACTAATAGGTACAAGGCCTAGAGCAATGCAGAATTGCTGATAATCACCAGACGCTAGTGCCTTGGTGAAGATATCAGCAGTGTTGGCCCGAGTGGCCACGTGAGTAAGACGAAGCTGACCACGCTGCTGCAACTCTCGTGCGAGGAAGTATCACAAAGCGATAGGCTTCATTCTATGCTCCAGTCTATGCTCCTGACACAAGGCAATCAAAGCCTTGTTGTCGACGTACAGAACTAGAGGAGAACGAGGCCGCTCTCCCAAGTCGGTAAGTAGGTAGGTCAACCAGCCAGCATAACTCCTGTGCAGCCATGGCCCCCGCGTAGATCTCAGCCTCACAACTGGAGCTGAGAACAGAAGACGAGCGGGTAGACCTCCAAGAAACTGAGCCGGAGCCAAGACTGAAGGTGTAACCCTGTGACGACCGCTGAGTAGCCTGGTCGTCCGCCCAAGAAGCGTCTGAGCGTCCAGTGAGTACAACTGAACCCCGTCCTCCAAACACAAACCCCATGCCCGACGTTCTGCACAAGGAACACAGCACCCTCCTAGCAGCTCGCTAGTGCTATGCTCGGTGTCTCCCCCTACGTAGCGTGCCAGGATGCTGAGAGGGTACGCGAGGTCAGGTCGAGTGCAAGTCATCAAGTACATGAGGCAGCCCACAAGCTCTGAATACTGAGCACTCTGCTCTACGGACTCGTTCGAAGGTGGAGCTGAGAGCGAGTGGCTTGTAGGTAGAGGAGTGGACTGTGGCGAGAAGAACTGGAAGCCAAAACACCTAAGGACTTGGTGCACCATGTGTGACTGAGTCAGAGTGATGGTGCGCCGTGCTCTGTCCCAGGTGATCTGCAAGCCAAGGTAGCTGCGCAGCTCACTAGTCTAGGTCAGTGCAAGTGTGTCTCTTCTACAGCTCCACCTTCACTAGGGTCAGTGCCTCAGTGTCAGCAGTAGCAAAGACCAAGTCGTGGACGTACACGAGGATGTAGAACGGCGGCAGCGATGGGGTCAGTGCGTAGAAACAGCGACGGGTCAGCAGTCAAAGGAGCAAACCCCATCAGCACGGGTCAGCATGTGAGCAAGAATCTTATCAAAGCCAACATTAAAGACGTCTACCCCATCCCTGAGCAAGCCTAACCAGTTGGGGATCTTAGCGTCAACACCGTACTCGGTGCGCCAAGCATTCTCGAGTTGGAAGAAGCAACAGGGCTCAGAGTGTCCAACCTTCCCACAGGGGAAACCAGCTCGGAGACCTGTATGCCTGATGTACGGGCAATGAACACTACCCCCTGAAGGGCCACGCTGAGCAAGCCACTCACGAAGCTGCTGGGGCGTGAGCGTCTCAGGCCAGCGCTACTGCTGCCGCTGTCCACCCCCAGAGCCTCCACTACCGCCACCGCCGCCACCACCGCCTCCACCGCCGCCACCACCGCCCCCGCCGCCGCCACCACCGCTACCACCGCCGCCACCGCCGCCACTACCACCACCATTACCGCCACCACCACCTCCACTGCCGCCACTCCACCGCCGCCACCTCCACCACCCTTGCCTTTGCCGCTGCAGCGCCTCCCACTAGAAGCAGATGAGCTACCACCGCCGCCACCGCCGCCACTACCACCACCACCACCATTGCCACCACCACCTCCACCGCCGCCACCTCCACCACCCAGCGCCACCACCACCACCCTTGCCCCCCTTGCCCTTGCCGCTGCGGCGCCTCCCACTAGGAGCAGACGAAGTACCAACCTCCTCAGTACGAAGGAAGTCAACAGTAGCAGCAGAGGCAACGGAGGGCGCAAGAAGAGAGGGAGAACACCCCTCAAAGAAGGGAGTGCGTGGAGTGCCACGACAAGCAGCGATAGCAACAGCACTAGTCTCAGCCGCTAGGAGTTGCTTCTCTAGCAAGTTGATGGTGAGGTCGGTGGGGTCAAGGGCAAGGAAGTGATCCCTAACTGCACGAAGAGAGTCAGGCAGGCGAGTGACGAGGAAGTAAAGGGTGAAGTACATAGGGGGCGGGTTCGCAGTCAGAAAGGCTGGCTTGAGAGCAGCGCGGTAGCGAGTGTCACTAGAGCGAATGTGGGTGATGATCGGCGACAGTGTGGAAGTCTGACAGCTCGGCAAACAGATACGGCAGCATGAGACGGCCTAGGGCAGCAGTAGAGGGGGAAGAGTAGCGAGCAACAACGTCGTCATAGAGGTCCTTGGCGGTTTTAAGATGGCAAAGTGGGCCCATTCATCTAACAGGAAGTGGTTGCGTATAGCAAGGCGAGCAGTAGCATCTTGGATAAGCCACTACGAACAAGCTAGGCGGTCACCTGTCTCGGCAGGAGCGGTTAGGGACCCTGACGTGTGTTCGAAAATGAGAAACACCATCGCGAGATTCGCTCTGTAAGTACAAGGTCGTCGAGCCAGGTGTCAAACTTAATCGGGCAGCCCTCCGCATCGAAGGTAAGAATGGAGAGAGTCGCCATCGTATGGGCAGTAATAGGGTCGGTGCGGGCAGGGCGGTGCGGCACGGGCAGGAAGGGCGCGCGCGGCTCGGGCAGCGTGCGGGCTGTGCGGGCGGGCGACGCATGGGGCAGCAGGGGCGCGCTACTGCGGGGCAGCAGGGGCGCGCTACTGCGGGGCAGCAGGCGCACGCGATGGGCTAGGGCAGGGCATACGGGCGACGCGACGGGCTGGGGCAGGGCGCACGGGCGACGCGACGGGCTGGGGCAGGGCGCACGGGCTATGCGACGGGCAGCAGGGGCGTGCGATGCGACGGGCAGCAGGGGCGCGTGCGCTACAGGCAGCAGGGGCGCGCGATGCGCGGTACAGCTGTGGCGCGTGCGAAAAGATGGCAGTAGGAGTAGATGGGGCAGCGCGTACGATAGGCGCACGGTAACCGCAGTCGGTCACTAACGGTGGGCCCGGAAAACAAGGAGGTCCTACGGACCTACACGCTCTCGATACCATGTCAGATTCTAACGAGCAGGAATGAGCTTCACTAGGAAGGAACGATAGTACAAGTACCTAACCCTAAAAGGTTTGTACTCTATATAGGCCTACAAACATAAAAATTAGTTTTGACATTGCGTTACTGCACAATGTTCGCAATAACGAAGATTGTCTCGAACCACTCCGACGTCATAATGAGACCTCGCTAACGCAAGGTCTGCCATGTCGGATGCATTAGACTTCCACCAATCAGCGTGTGCGGTGCATGATGTGTTATTTTGTATTTCCGTTTGTGATCCTTCCAACTTACATTACGTCCAGTGTGGCTCGTCCCCCCAACCACACCTCTCCTTTCATACTGCTGAGCTAATTCTTCCCCTTTCCCCTCTTTTCTCCCTTCATCCCCCTCCCCTTCCTCCCCTCTCCCCCATGCATCTCCCAGGCTTGCCCACAACCACTCCTTCCAAGCTCTGACCGCTCACAGCCCCGCACGCTCGTTGCCTCTCGTTTGATAAATCTTTCTTGATTGTATTTCTATAATGTGCCTAATGTGAAGCTGGTTTCAAAATATGGCTATATTTGTAGCTGGGTACAATGTTTTAGTGTTCACCAGCACTCATCAAAATCTGGTTGCAAAACAGCCATGAACATTGTGGCTGTTTCATGTCAAACACGACGTGGTTTGCAACTTGCAACCTCATTGTCCTATTAGCGTATTCCTCCGGACAGCTGGCCCCGTTCCTGGGTAGTTGCATGTTTTGGAGCAGGGTTTGTAACCAAATAAAAGTTTAAAGGCCCTCTTAGGTAACTAAAGCCTCAGGCTGCTATACACAGATCTCAGCAAGTTCATAGTAGATCAATAAATCGGATATTTCTAGAATAAAGGGTGGGGCGGTTATAGAAAATGTTTTATTACCCCTTTTGCTAGAGGTCATCTCCGGGCCGGGACATCCTTTGTGGCGGATGCCTATATGGGGGGATACGCTTCTACCAATCATGTGATCTGGCACAAAAATTCAACGGCAGACAATGCTGCAGCTGTCCAGCAGACTGGAGCATCAACCTATCACTTGCCTCTGCGCTCCTCCTCTCCCACCACTGCCTTAAGGCGCTCCAATGCTGGGGATGCATGAGATGAGACGCGAGACAAGACAGAATTGTGAGGAAGGGAGAGCTGTGAGTGAGGGAGATGTGAGATGAGGGAGAGATGAGAGTTGTGCAATCCCCCATGCACACAAGCAAATCGAACCTGGCATTGCAACTCCGCTCACAAGCACTGAAGCAGAGTCACCAACACAGCACAGCATCCACCAGCACCGCACTGCACTCACCAGCATCGTAGTGCTCCCTAAGCCCCTCCATGAGGTGCGAGGGCGCCTTGCTCTGTGGGCAGTCTGTGCATCCCACCTTCCCCAGCACCGCCTTGAAGTGCCGCACCTGGTGGGGGGAGATGAGGGAGGGGGGTATGATGGGGAGGTATGGGGCGCATGCCGTACATGGGTCATCTCATTACAGTCCGCACAGCCCACTTTGGCCAACACTGCCTTGAAGTGCCGCACCTGGTGAGGGGTGAGTGGGGGTGTAACGGGAAAGGGGAGTGGTGGAATGGGGAGCATGGGCCATCGTGAAACTGTCGGATTCGCCACAGACAGCACAGCCCACTTTGGCCAGCACCGCCTTGAAGTGCCGCACGTGATGGGGGGGGAATGAGGGGAAGTGGTGGATTGGATTGTATGGGTGGAATGAGTCATGTCATGTCAATCCGGGGGAGGTGGGTGTAATGGTATGTTGCACATGGCGTACATGGGTCATCTCGTTACACTCCACACAGCCACACCCCGCAGTGGGATGGGGGAGTGGGGTGGGACGGGTGGAGGTGGTGTGTGATCTGGGCCGGGGTTGGGCTACATGGGTGATATGGGGCATGGCAGTAGATTTTCATTACAGTCACATTCAACACAGTCACAAGAATCGCACCTCCTGCTTCCTCAGAATTGTGTAGCAATGCCCCGGCCTGCCCGCCCGGGCAGTTCGGCCTGCCCGGTGAACAAAGGTCTTTGGGTACACAGGTGCATCGTAGCTGACAACGTTGAACACGCCCTCCACGTCCATGCCACGTGTCATGGCGTCACTGGCCACCAGCACTTGCACCTCGCCCCTCCGGAACCGGTCTAGAATGGCACTGCTCATGCGGTCATGCGGGTGGTGTGGGGAAAAGAGAGGAAATGGTGAGGAGGGATGGTGGGGTGGGGGGAGGTTGGAGAGCATTGGGTGTTGAGGTGAAAAAGGGAGCTTTTGGCAGTGTTGTGGAGGGTTGGGGTGGTGGTGGGGAGGGTTGGGGGGGGGTTGGCAAGGGGGTTGGGAGGAAGAGGGCAACATTGTGTGTTGAAGAGAAGAAAACTCCTGACACGTGCACGGCCACCAGCACCTGCACCTCGACCCACTGGAATCAAACCAGAATGGACTGCGCATGCTGGCATGGGGTGGTGGTTGTGGAGGTTTGGTGTGTAGGTGCAACAATGTGTGTTGACGAAATGATCAGACACAAGGACTGCCACCAGCAACTGCACCTTGCTGCTGTGAAAATGCTCATGCCACCATGGGGTTTCGGGGGAGACGGCTGGAAGAACATAAAACGCACGGCATGTATGGGCATGCAAGCGGGTGACAAAGAGATGCAAATGGAGGGAAAGCAATGTCAGTCAGTTCAACCACCACTACCTCTCCTCACCTGCATGCCTCCCCTCCTCACCTGCGCTGGCGCTGCGGCTGGCGGGAGGAGAACTCAGCAAAGGCGAAGGGCAGGGAGGCGGGGGGGAAGGCGGAGAGCAGCAGGAAGAGGCGGTGTGCTGCCTGCAGCGACGATGCAAACACCAGCGTCAGCTGCCGGGCCCGTGCGGCAACAGGAGCGCCAGTGCTGGCAGCTGCATCGCTCTTCCCCTCCTGCGCGCCCATCCCCACCCCCGCCCCCTCCCCTGCAGTGAGCTGCTTGAGCAGCGCTGCGAGCAGCAGGGGCTTGTCACTCGCACGTGGACACACCTGGGAAGGGGGAGAAAGAGGTTGGAGGGGGAGGGGGAGGCCGGGGAGTGTGATGTGTGCATGGTGGAGCAGAGAGACAGTGGCAGGAGCGAGTGTGAATGGAAATGCAGGAGGTGTGTGATGTAAGGGGGGGAGAAGTGATGAGGTTGACGAGGGAGGAGGGAGAAGGAAAGAAAAGGGGGTGAGGGAGAGGGAGGAGGTGGTGGGGTAGGAAGAAGACGTGTAAAGACGAGTGAAGAAGGAGCAGGTGTGTGTGTGTCAGCAAGACGATTACATTTACACCACCGCAATCCTGATGGCCACTCCACACTCCATTCACCCCCCATCACATTTATCCCATTTCATTTCCAACATACTTGCACCATACTCCCACGCCACCCACCAGCATGGAAGTAACTAACTGCGGAGGCAGGTGATACTGCCTCACCCCTTCCTCCTCCTCCCCCTCCTCCTCCTCCTCCTCCCTTCCCTCCTCCATCCCTTCTTCAGCAGCCACATCACCACCGTCCACGTCAGCATCCACGTCAGCAGTGGAGCCAGCTTGGCGCGCCCCCCCAGCCGCCACGTGGCGGAGCATGGCGGAGGCGAGCAGGTGGGCGGCGGAGGAGATGAAGAGCGGGCGGTGCAATCTGAGCCGTTGGATCTTGGAGGGGTCGCGGGTGAGTGTGGCGGAGCACACTAGCTTGATGACTCGATGCCGTTCAATGTCAGGCACAGAGAGGAGGGAGGGGGCACAGGTGGCACTGCGATGGCGCAGGGAAGGAAGGACGGAGAGAAGAGGCACAAGAACAGAAGGGCGATGGATGGGTGAGCGTGGCAGAGCACACTAGCTTGATCACCCGTTGCTGTTCAAGGTAAGGCACGGAGAGCAGCGAGTCGGGACAGGGGGCGCTGCTATGGCATGCGGGTTGGATAAGGGAGAGACAGCACACATGAGGCGAAGGATCGCAAGTGAGTGTGGTGCAGCACACACGAGCTTGATCACCCGATGGTGCTCATTATTCAGTACGGAGAGCAGGAAGGGGCCACAGCTGGCGCTGCTATGGGCAGGGAAAGGAAAGAAGGGAGGGAAGAGTGGTGGGAGGGGGGTAGGGAGGCAGAGCGTGGTGGGCATGGTGCAGCACACACGAGCTTGATCACCCGATGGCACTCAGTGTTGGGCAAGTAAGCGGGGCAAGTGAACAATGGCATCAGGATACAGAAAACCGCACACAACAGAATTAGGTGATTGCGGACGACTCACTGCGATGGCAGGCTGTGGATAAATGGAGAGGAGAGAGCATGAGGGGGCGAGATGAACCGTGCAGGTCAGATGCGATGCACACAGCAGCACAAGGCACGGGCGCGTAGCGGCAGCATATAGTCGCAGCAAAGAGCAGCATGAGGTGAGTGTTAGGGCCTCCTCACAGGGATCGCAGCCCGTGGATGAATGGCGTGGGGAGAGCACCGCCCATGCTGCCACCGCCACGTGCTTGCATGCCGCCGCCCGGACCTGCCGTGCTCACTGTCACGTCAGCATGCATGCCGGCAACTGCTGACGTGGCAGCAGTGGCATCTGAAGGGGCGGCAGCAGCAGCAGCGAGGGTGAGTGGCAGCCAATCGTGGTATGACTGGCGCAGCAGCCGGTCCGCCTCGTCCACCACCTGATGGGGGCAAGACGAGGTGCAGGGGGTGCAGCCAGGGAGGTATGGGGAGGAAGAGGGGACAGAGGAGGCACAGTGGGGACAGGGTGAGGGCGAGAGAAAGCCAGTCGTGGTAGGACTGGCGCAGCAGCCGGTCTGCCTCGTCCACCACCTGACGGAGCGCATGAGGGACACGAGAGGAAGCAGGGGGGCGCATGGGGGACACGAGAGGAAGCAGGGAGGGCATGGGACAGAGAAGATTGGAGAGAATGTAAACGAAGTTCTGCACAGGGGGAGCAGAAAGGTAGAGAGAGGTAAACGAGGGATGCAACCACAATATTGGCCATGCTACAGCCGCCGTTAACCCCACGGCTGTAGCAGAGCAAACAGCTGTGGCGGACTCACGAGGAACTGCAGGTGTGCAAGGGAGAAGCCCTGAGTGCCTTTCAGTAATCCACAGTGCCAGCAGCTGTAGCAGAGCCAACAGCTGCAACAGACCCAACGGCTGTAGCGGACTCACGAGGAATTGCAGGTGAGCGAGGGAGAAGCCGTGTGCTTTTCAGTAACCCTCAATGCCAACAGCAAAACTAACAGTTGCAACAGAGCCAACGGCTGTAGCGGACTCACGAGGAACTGCAGGTGAGCGAGGGAGAAGCCGTGAGTGCCCCTCAGATGGTCCACCAGCCGCCCCGGTGTTGCCACCACGATATCCGCCCCGCTACACCCACCGCCACTGCTGTAGCCGCTTCCCTGGCTGTAGCTTGAACGACTGAGGAGACCCAAGGGGCCGGCACGGACGGCGGGGTGCGGCACGAGGTGGGTTGCCTCGTCAGCGAGCGATGATTGGCCGTTGATGAGAGCCACTGAGAGGCCGACAGCTGGCGCGATGGTGTCAAACACATGCTTCACCTGGCGAGGCAGGAAGAACGGCATGGTGGTGGAGTCGAGGAGGGGAGAGAGGGGAGACAGAAAGGGTGTGTTCGAGGGGGAGACTAATAACACTGGAAGGAAATGGTGGGTCAGTGAGGTTGATGGTTGCTGGAGAAGTGGGGAAGGGACGAGGCGAGGTAGGTCTCCGTGCAAGGCAGCAGCGTGTGTGTGCAACCGCAGCCGCACCTCAACACCCACCTGAGCAGCGAGGTCTCGCGTGGGCAGCACCACCACGGCCCGCACTCGCCGCACCACGCGCCCTGCCAGTGCCTGCACCACTGGCAGCGCATACGCCAGTGTCTTGCCACTCCCTGTCGGCGCACACACACATAAGTCGTGCGACGCCACCCGCAGCCCCGCCACCTCCCGCTCCTCCCCGCCCTCCCACTCCGCCTGCGCAACTCCCCCTCTCCGCCCCCCCCTCCCCCCATCACCAGCGCCTGCTCTCCCTATTCCCCCATCCTTCCCCTTCCCAGGTGTTGTTTTTCCATGGGCGTGGGGGTGGTTACCAGGTAACCCCAGTAGTTCGCGCCACACTGTGGCTTGCACGGGAAAGAGATAAGAAATGCCGGCCGGGGCGAGGGCGCGCAGGAGGCTGGCAGGGGGGGATGGGGCAGAGCGGCGGGGCGGAAGGGCGTGCAAGAGGGGATGCGGGCGAAGGACGAACGGAGATTGTAATGAGGGAAATGAGAGAGAGAGGAAAGGATGCGAAGAGGGGAGGGGAAGCAGCAGGGGTCGAGTGTTGCAGTGAGGGAGAGACGGCAGCAGCAGATGCCAAGGAGGTCGACCAGGCGAATTCCCAACCCCACCCTCACAGCTGACCTCCGTACCGCTTGTCTAGGTTCGGAACCGAAGCTAGAGGAACGGCATCAGCTGTGGAGCACTTCACTGGCGCCCGCATCCACGGCAGCACCGCACCTCCCCCTCCCCCTGCCCCTCCGCCTCCCCCTCCCTTTTTTGCTGCTGCTTGCGGCTTAGAAGGTGCCTGAAGAGCCGCCTCTGCACCCGCAACGCCATCATCACCATCGTCCCCTGCTTCATTGCCCTCTTCGCCCCTCTCCCTCGCTCCATCGCCCTCCGCTGCCATGTTTGCTGCTACCACCACCGTGTCTTCCCCGCCATCCATGGCCCCATCCTGCTTCCCTCGCCCAGCCCCCTTCCCCTTCCGCTCCTTTTTCCTTTTCGCCTTTCCCTCGCCATCCCCTAAACCCTCTTTCTGTTCCGAGTCTTCCTGCTCCGCATGCGCTACACCCCCAAACCCTGTACCTCGCTCAAACCCTCCTCCGCCCCCTGCTTCACCTTCCCCCTCCCCACCGCTTTGAACCGCAGCACAGCTCGCACTCCCAACATCCTCCCGCGTCCGTTTCCTCTTCTTGTCCTTTCCCCTACCCACTGGACCTCCCTGTGCCAGCTCCCCACTGCCATCTCTAAGCCCTTGCGCTGCATCTAGTGCGAACCCCAAACCCCCGCCCTCGCCACCTAGCGCATTCCCTGCCCGCTCTCCCGCCACGTCACGTGCGACGTCGTGCGAGTCTTTTACCGTCGCAGTCAGAGCACTCGCACCTTCCGCGCCCCTTTCCTCTACCTCCCGCTTTCCCTTTTTCCTCTTCTTCTTCTTCGTTTCACTACCGCTTCCTCCCGCAATTTCCGCCGCAGAATTCTCGTCCTTAGCTCTTTCGACGCCTCCGCCAACGACAGTCGATCCTCCAGTAGTCTTTCCCCCAACTTTGCGCCGATCAATGCTCTCCGCTAATCGATCCGCCTTCTCGCCACCGAAAGGCGTCTCAAGTGTTTTATGCGCGGGAAACGGCGGGGCGGAAGCGGGAGTGAGCGGAAAGGTGGGCGGAGGCTTGAGCGGCGGAGTGGAGACGTGGAGGTACGACGAGGGGAGCGCCTCGTAAAGCCCGTCCCAGCGCTTCACGGGAAACATTGCGCAAGACTCGGTTACTGCGAGTTAGTGACGTGCGCGCTGTGGGGGGGAATGGGCCAGCATCGATGCGTCGCACGGAATAGAAGTTGAGGCAAGGACTTAGGGAAGCAGTGAGGGAAGCAGCGTTGGCTTCAAAGGTTGGGAACAGGGCTGTCGATTCGTCTTGGGGCCCCCAGGGAAATCAGGGGCCCTGCCATGTCCGAGCCTGTATCTAGCAGGTTCGGGGCGAATCTCGGCCTTTAGGCTTCAGGTCTGAAAGAATTCCAACATTTTAATATCAGCCTCAGTAGCTCGCCATAAATATCAATCGAAGTACAAATCCCGGCAGTATCAAGGTGCTCATTGGTGCGTACAGTCATTGCGTAGATTTGCGTGATGACCACCACATTGGCTCCTCGGTTTCCTCACGCACATTTGTGCGTGTGATGGCGTAGTTTGTTGCTGCCAGCCCAACTCCCTTCGCTGTACAGTAGTACCCTTGCTCACGACAGCCGACCGTCACCTGAGGCTGGCCGTTTGCTCGTCTCATCGCGTTCTTCTTGTTGCGTTTCCCTAAGACGATTTTCAGGCATTGATCGGGTTCTGACTACAATCTGCTGTCTTATGCGTAGACGCCATCAGCAGGTATAGCCCTCAACACCGCTTTTCATGTCTTTCGGTGCGCTGAAGAAAAATGACCATCGGTTGTAATTCCTTTTGAAACAGCGACCACGGAAAGTATACCTGAGTGCTCTGCCTTTGCCGGATCCGAGGGGATCAAGCTCGGCTACTACCGGAGATATATCTCGCACCAGACGTACTGTTAATACGAGGTTATTTATAGTCTTTATATCGAGTCTGTTTGTACGGCGACCATGGGGACACCCGCCTTTCCCGACCTGGGGAAGCACTGCTCGGTGACGTCATGCCAGCAGATCGACTTCCTTCCCTTCACCTGCGACAAGTGTCGCATGGTCTTTTGTCTGTCGCATCGCATGCCGGCGTCGCACGAGTGCCCGCGTGCGACAGTCGGCGACGCTGTGGTGCTGCTGTGTCCGCTGTGCGCCAAGGCCGTGCGACTGGTGGGCGACGAGGACCCAAATGTGACGTGGGCTCGGCATGAGCGGTCCGGATGCGATCCCAGTAACCTGCAAAGGTACGATAGGGTGAAATTCAGTTTGGTATATCGTCAGCAATATGCAGGTGTGTAAGCTGGACCCGGAAACGAAGGTGATTGTTTCTTGAGCCTTGCCCTAAGGTTCACGCTTGCTCTGAGCTACAGTCTTGCAGTGCCCAACGGCCTTGTTCTGAGCTACCGCCTTCCGCTGTTTCCACCACTTTCACATCCCCCCTTCTCCCACCTCCTCACAGGGTAGCCAACAAGGTTAGGTGTGAGGCACAGGGCTGCAAGCAAGCGCTGTTTCCTCACAACGCTGTACTCTCTCCCCTTACCTAACACCTTCCCCTTTCCTCCCTGCAGGGTGCCAACTGACGCCAGTTTGCAGCACGGGGCTGCTAGAAAATGTCCTTTCCCTGCCAACATTGTCACACCTCAACCCCCCACGATTCCCTCTCCTCACCTCCACACCACCCTCTTTCCCACCTGGTAGCCAAAAAGCCGCTGGTGCGCGGCACTGGGCTGCGAGGAGGTGCTCTCCCCCCCAACACCACACCCTTCGTGTTCTATTTTCTCCAATCCTCACTTCCTCACCTTTCCCCTTTCTTCCCTCCTGCAGAGTGGCCAACAAGCGCCGGTGTGCAGCACAGGGCTGCAAGGAGGTGCTCTCCCCAGCCAACCCTGTGACACCTCACGATTCCTCTTCTCTTTTCGCCACTCCCCACCTCCTCGCCACCCTCCTGCAGAGTGGCCAACAAGCGGCGGTGTGCAGCACAGGGCTGCAAGGAGGTGCTTTCCCCCGCTAACACCGTCACCTGCCGTGACTGCACCCGCCAAACCTGCCTGCGCCACCGCTTTGGCGCCGACCACGCGTGCTCGGGCAGTCAAAAGAATTCGCAGCCCGTTTCGTTCTGGGCAGCCAGTGGGGCATACAGTGAGAAGCTGATGGCAGGCATGCAAGGCGCCATGGCAGGGCTGATGGCACCGGCTGGTGGTGCGGCTGGTGCCGGCAGCAGCAGTGGCAGTGGTGGGGGCAAATCAGCTGGTAAAAATACCAGCACTGGGAGCAAGGTGTCGACATCTAGCAACAAGGCTAGTACTAGCAGCAGCAGCAACAAAGGCAGCAGTGGCAGTGGTGCTGGCGCTGTAGCTAATGATCTCAACACGGTGCAAGGGACAGCAGCAAGGCGTCAGAAACAGGGCGCAGGGCAAGCGGCGTCAGCTGCAGGCTCACAAGCCAGAGTGGGATCAGCAGGACCGCAGCAACCAGGTGCAGGGGCAGCCAGGGCTGGGGGAGGGGTGGGTGGTGCGGGGCCAGAGGTATGCCCTCAGTGTGGAGCGAGGTTTGGGGATGCTGTGGGATTAATTAACCATGTTGAGACTGCACATGCGCATGGAGGGACAGGTGTAAGCGTGCAGTTTGGTGGTAATGCTGGGCCTGGTAGTTCAGGGGCAGCGGGAAGCAGAAGCGGTGCAGGTCGAGCGGGTGGTGGTGGCCAAGGGCCCGAGCAATGCCCAAGATGCGGAAAACGTTTTACCGATCCTGTGGCTTTGGTTCGGCATGTTGAGAGGGATCATGAAGGTGCTGTGGGGACTGATAAGTGCACAATGAGCTGAGATGAAAAGGGATACTGATTTATGTTAGTTGCAATGTTCATTGTTTAGTGGCTGTGATCATTCAGAAGTGGAGGAAAAAGATCACTCCAGATGATTCTTCTTGTTGCTGAGCTTGTACGGTAGGTTGCAGCGAAGCATCCGGTATATCACTCAACCGCGCGCGCTGCAAGCGGTCCCACAGTGAATTGTTTATATCCTGCCCTCTCATGATGTTTGACTTTGCCTGGGGGCCACATCGATGTGACTGGTACGATTCAAATGTCTGTTCGTGTACGACTTCAGGGTTATTTCATTGGCTCGGATAGGCCTCTGCAACAACTCGTTTATTTTCTTGTCAGCATTACCACCACTGACAAGAATTCTGCCCAGATGAAAGCAGAAAATGCCCGGCCATCGTGTCTGTTCGCCGCATGTCTCCGTCACAGACGCGCGAGCCGACTGAGCGAACTCCGAACCAACCCAGGGTCTTCCTCACCAGACTAGCCAAAACCAGACCGAACCAGCAAATCCACGCCTGAACCAACTAAATCCGGACCGAGCCAGCCTCATCCGCACCCAACCACCACTAGTCCCCCCACTTCAACTCGCAGGAGCTTGCCAAACCTGCTCGAGTTTCCCAAAGCCTTGATGCTGGTTTTCCGTCACACGGGTTGGCTGAACGGTTCTCGCTGCTGGTTCGCTCTCACTGCCTCGGGCATAAAGCTGTGAGGGTTCCAGCTAACCAGACCCAGTCAACCAGACGTGGCAGATGAATCCGTGTTGCTTTCCTGCCTTACCGTTTGCAAGCTGACCGCTGGCGTCTAGGTTCCAGAGTTTGCCGAGGTATCTTACTAGGGAGTGTCGATATCTTAGAAACTTTTAGTAAGTCGCTTCGTCCACGATAAGACATGGTAGAGCCCTGGCGTATTAGGGTTAGGTCGCGTCGCAGCTTGTGACCTAAATCCGACACGCAGTCGTTGGCCGAGCTTGGAAGTCGATCCAAGGGTTCCCCGTCCCCCACGTTCGTTGCCATAAGCTCCTTGCAAGGTTACTCGACATAAGCTCCGTGATTCGCGTGAATAGACGATGCTGGGAAACGTTAGAGTCCGGCACGTTGCGTGCGCGCTAGCGTGCCTCGTACTCGCCCTTTTAATCGCCGGTTGCTATCTCTCACGCGAGTATGTCGGCTCGCTGCTTCCGCGAGTCACCGTTTCCGTCGACCTCTCCGTGCTAGCGGCGCTGCTTATCGGCGCGGCAGGCTCGTTAACCATCAACTTTTTCATCCAACGAAACTTCGCTCTCGTACCCGTCTCCGCCGCCGCCGCTCCCGCTGCTGCCGCTGCCGCCGGCGCAGCTGGCGCGGGGGAAGCCGGAGCGGGCGGGGAAGCGGGAGCGGCGGGCTTAGAGGTGGGGAATCCGGGGCCTGGGCTGATGGCTTTCGACATCCCCGACAACGCCTGCTACTTCTGCGTGCGCCGCCCCGCCACCTCCAAATGCGGCAGCTGCAGGTCAGCCGGGGGTAGGAAGCGGTGCAGTAGGGTCCAGAGGCGTGTTAAGCTGCTGCACATGGTAACTGCGACTTGGGCTGCTGCGGCCAGCTGGGATGGGGGTTGGTCCGGAGCACTAGTTCCAGGGATAGAAAGCGGTTCAGTAGGGCTCCAGAGGCGTGAAGGGATTCTGCATCTGGTAAAGGCGTGTTAGGCTGCTGCAGGTCAGCCGGGGTAAGGCGTCGTCCAGTAGGGCACTAAGGCCGTGTGAGGGCTGCAGATGCGAAAGGCGCGGTAGGCTGTTGAAGGTAATAAGAGTATGTCAGGCTGCTGCAAGCACTAGAGACAGGTGTGGGGTACTGAAGCCGTACCTGTTTTTCTTCCAAATAACCCGCCATTCCCCCTCCCTCACTCGCTCCTTCCCTCCTCCGCTTCACCCCCTTCCGCTCCCCCCTTTCCCCTCGCCCCAACCCCCCTCCGTCTTCCCCGCTATTCCCCCGTCTTCCTCCCCTCTTTCACACCCCCCCCCTACCCCAGGCTGGTGTACTATTGCTGCCGGCTGTGCCAGATGCAGGCGTGGCGGAAGCACCGGCACGTCTGCGGCGCGGCGGCGGCGGCAGCGGCGCGCATCCAGCGCACGCGCGCGCTGCTCACCCCCTCGCAGTGGCGCGCGCTGGGCGAGTTCGGGGACGCCGTGCGCGCACTCATCCCCGCGCACCTGCTCGTCCCTACGCAACCGGACCTTGTCGCGGCCGCGCTGCTGAAAATAGCGGCGTACGTGCGCCAACGCCCGCACCTAGTGTCGCAACCCATGGCGGACGCCGTGTGGGCGGCGGCGCTGAGCATGCGCGGGGAGGGCGCAAGCCCGCGCCTGTACATGGCGTGGGCGTGGGGGTTTCTTGAAGCCGCGGTTGAGTCCGGTTCGGTGGACGCGTTTCTGGCGGCGCTGCGGATTGACGCGGCGGGCGGGGGCGCGGCAGACCTTCCGCGCGTGAACCGGTGGATGAAGCGCGGGCTGTGCCAGGCGCTGCTGATGCTGAACAAGCGGCAGGAGGTGGGCGCGTTCTTCCGCCACGCGCCCCGCCAACAGCTGCTCTACTTCTAAAGGCGGTCAAAGGAGGAGGGTGGGAGGGGGGAGGGGTGTTGGAAGAGGGGGGGAGAAGGGGGTGTCAGTAGCGCTGCTGATGCTGAACAAGCGGCAGGAGGTGGCGCGTTCTTTAGCCACGCCCCCCGCCAACAGCTCCTCTACTTCTAAACCACGATGAACGGGAAGCGGGGGGGAGGTGGGAGGTGGGGAGGGGTGCGGAAGAGACAAGGGGGTTGGTTAAGGAGAGAAACAGCAACTCCTTTTCTTCTAGACACAATCAGAACGATGGTGGAGGGGGAATTGCATGGCATGCATCAATGGCAGCTGCTTTCCTTCCGCCAATGTGCAGGCAGCATCTGCTAACCTTTTAAAGGACAAGAGGGGGGAGGGGTGACAGCAGCCGATTCATTCTTAGAAAGGAACGGGGGTTAGGGGGAAAGAAGAGGAGGCAGCAGCTGCTCTAACTGCTAAGAAACGGGGGCTGGAGGGAGAGAGATCAGCTGCATCGATTGTAGAAAAAGGGAGGAGGAGATGGATTGACAGCATGTGCTGTAACAGGTGTTTTGGCAGGTATTGCGATGCAATGCGTCTAACGTGGTATCGTCATCAGGTCGGATGGCAATGGCTTGGATCAGATAAACAGTTCTTATGGCGCTGGAGAGCAGAGCGCAGGTGCTTCGTGTCGCGGAGCGGTTAGGAGGGGAAGAGACACATGGCTGCGTTGCTTGCAGCACCCTCTTCTCTCTGAAAGCAACTGCTGCTCTGTCTTACTGGGGGTTGGGCGGTGTGTGGCATGTGCAGTGACTGCAACTTTCAAGAGACAGACTCTTGGGTTTTGTCTGGAATTGGCTGCTCCACTAACGTGGATCCCTTCCCTCCTCTTTATACCTTAGTTTTTTCTCATCAGACACAGAGACAGCAGCAGCTTAGTGCTAATGTGAAAGCCAGTGGCTGCTTTCATAATCAGGCAATTGCCTGCTTTGTTTGTTTTGTTTGGAGAAACTTTTCCATTGTGCATGGGTTTGCTTGTTTATTGTGAGATGGACAGCTTTTGAGGCACCTCAATCACAACTGATCATTCAAGGCAGGAGATAAGACATCTTTGTTCTGTTGCCACAAGAGACAGTTCTGTGTCGTATACAGACCACCACCACCTGCCCACAGGATCACAGAAAGATGCGACACCGTGTGTGTTAGGGTTTAGGGAGCCTCATGACAGAGGGGAATGCGCGATTGGATAGTGGAGCTTTTGGTAACAGTAGTCAATGCCATTGCGATGTTCATCTACACTACCTATCAACACATGTATTGTGTGCTTGCCGTGCTTCTGCACAGATGGCCACACACATGGTTTTAGGTGCACGAAGGGGGACGATTACCTTCACATGCCGTCACATGCCTGGAAGCAAAGCAACCTTGGATAACTTTGAGCACTGTTGTGAGTAGCACTGATTTCAGAAGAGCAAGAGGCTCTTCTTGGAGTATTGGAGCTATGCTTAGATTGGTGGTGGCTACTTGCTTGTGCTCCAATATAACCGTGCCATGCACGTATTTTGCAAACTCAGGTTCTCCTTCCCAGAATGCACAGCACCGTGTGCAGCCATTCATGGCTGGCGCGTGTCGCCCAATAACCATCAATGGTTGGCGCGCTGAGTCGTGTGGAGGATGCATCATGTCAAGGCGGTTTGGGCGAGTCAACAGCGGGAGGCGCAGCAGCAGCTGCTGCTGGGGCTGCTGAAACAGGTGGTGTTGCTGCTGGCACTGCTGGTGGTGCTGCTGGTGTTGGCACAGGCGCAGAAAGGGTGGCGGTTGGAGCGGGTGTGGCAGCAGCGGTGGCAGCAGCGGTGGTAGCAAGATTGACAGCAGCAGCTGCAGCAGGAGCATGAGCCTTAGCTGGCGCCACTGGCAGTGGTGATACCGAGCTGGCCGGCGTACCTTGTCTCACACCGGGGGCTGGTGCATTGGTCGCAGGAGCAGCAGCAACACCGGCAGTGCCAACAGCAGCAGCAGCAGCAGCAGCAGTATCAGCAGCAGCAGCAGTTCCCACTGCATCGCGTGAGCTTGACAGCACTGTTGCATCTGGCACCTTTGAATGCGCCAACACTCCCAATTCGGGTGGTGGTGCTGCTGCTCCTCCTGCACTTCCCCCTGCGCCCCCCTGAGCGCCTGCACCTCCCCCTGCGCCCCCCTGAGCGCCTGCACCTCCCCCTGCGCCCCCCTGAGCGCCTGCACCTCCCCCTGCACCCCCCTGTGCGCTGGCTGGGGGTATTCCCGAAGCAGCACTTTGCCCCACTGGTTTACTCCCAGCCAATGGGGTTTGGCCACCTGGCACAGACGAACCGGCCCCTCTCCCCACTCCCCCTACCCCTCCTCTCCCTCCTCCCACACCAACTGTAGCAGCACCGGCGGTAGCAGCAGCAGAAGCAGCAGCCCCTCTCCCCCTCCCACTCTGCCCTCCCCCACCCCTGCCTGCTCCACCCCCCGCCCCCACTGCCCCACCCCTTCCCAAACCTCCACCGCCGGGCGCAAAGCCTGCTGCCGAGCCTGACCCATAGGTATGGGGCGAGCGGGTGATGTGGTGCACCACCACAGGCGCACCTGCCTTCCCTGCAGCAGCCTGCATGAGGGAGGCGGCAGCTGAGGGAGGTGCTATCCGCGCCCCTGCCGCCACTGCTGCTGCCTGCACCAGCGGGTCTGGGGCGAGAGGTGTGTGCGAGTGAGAGAGAGAGGTGTGAGGGGAGTGGGAGGAGGAGAGGGAGGCGTGGGAGGGGTGGGAGGAGTGTGGGTGCAGGGATGCGCGCCCTACCGCGCCACTCCCAGGCCTGGAACCTCCTCCTATCACTCCTCCCGCTCCTCCCATACCTACTGTTGCTGCTCCTACTCCTGCTGCCGAGCCTGCTACTGACCCTCTTCCTGCTGTTGCAGCAGCAGCAGCGGCTCCTGCGTTACCCACTCCTCTTCCTCTCCCCACACCCATCCTGCCCATCATACCGCCGCCCACTCCCGCCCGCCCGCCCGCCCCTGCTACAGCACCTCTGCCGCCCGGAAGCCCGCCGGGTGAATAACCGCCAGCTGTCGCCGATTTGGCAGCATTAGCAGCGGCGGCGGCGGCGGCTGTAGCAGCGGCTGCTGAAGTGTACGGGGAGTTTCCTGGAAAGCCCCTGCCTCGGCCCATAGCAGTTGCCATCCGCCTTTGCTGCTGCTGTTGCTGCTGCAGCAACTGCTGCTGCTGCTGCTGCTGCTGCTGGTGCTGCTGCTGCTGATGCTGCGCCCATGCCTGTGCTGACGTCAGCCTGCCAGTTGTTCCCTTCCCGTTCGCACCCCTGCCTGCTGCCCCACTAGTCACCCCACGGGCCAATCCGGAACTGCCACCTGGCACTGCAGCAGGTCCCGTTCTGTGAGCCCACTGGTTGGATGCTGACGTGGAAGAGGGGTACTTGGGGGGGATGGAGGAGGGGTGCATGGTGTGGGTGTGGGGTGTGAGGGAGTGCGCGTGAGTGTGAGTGTGAGGGGGAGCGTGAGAGAGTGAGGAGTGAGGGTACGCACCAGAGTACGGTGCTGTGTGCCTGATAGGATTGGAATAGACGTCTATTTGACCTTGCCCCTGTCCCTGTCCCTGCTTCTGTCCCTGCCCCTGCCCTTGCCCTTGCCCTTGCCCTTGCCCTTGCCCTTGCCCCTGCATGTGCAGGGATCCCATCTCATGCTCCTTCCTCTCCCCCACACCCCCACCTTCCCCAAACCACCACTGCTACTCGCTGCTCCTCTCTGCTGCGCTGGCTGCTGTTGCTGCTGTGGCATCCCAGCCCCACTCCCATCCGCGCTCTCCCCTCCCACACCACCCTCTCCTGCCTTTCCAACACCCTCAGCCTCAGCTCTAGCTGCTGCTTCTCTCGCCGCTGCTTCCTTAGCTGCTGCTTCCCTTGCTGCCTCCCTCGCTGCTTCTCTCGCCGCATCCCTTGCTGCTGCTTCCCTCGCAGCAGCTTCAGCCTTCGCAGCTGCTTCTTTAGCAGCGGCCTGTCTTGCAGCAGCCTTCTTAGCAGCCGCCGCGTTAGCCGCAGCCGCCTTTGCAGCGGCTTCTTTGGATGCCGCCTCTCTCGCTGCTGCCTCTCTCGCTGCTGCCTCCCGACCCTCTCTTGCCTTGCGGCCCGGGATCGGTACCCCCTCCTTCTCAAACTTCTTTCGTAGAATGTACCAGCGCTGGCATGAGGGTGGAAAGAGGGGGGAAGAGCAGAGAGAGAAGTGTATGAGGAAGACTGTGAGTGATACTCGGGATAAGCACCCCCTCCTTCTCAAACTTCTTTCGTAGAATGTACCAGCGCTGGCATGAGGGTGGAAAGAGGGGGAAGAGCAGAGAGAGAAGTGTATGAGGAAGACTGTGAGTGATACTCGGGATAAGCACCCCCTCCTTCTCAAACTTCTTTCGTAGAATGTACCAGCGCTGATGTGCGGAGTGGGGAGAGGGGGGAAGAGCAGAGACAAGAGTGTACGAGGAAGACTGTGAGTGATAAACTCGGGATGGGCACCCCTGCCTTCTCAAACTTCTCCCTGAGAATGTAACAACACTGCCGTGAGGGTGGGGAGAGGGGAGAGAAGAATGTACCCGCGTGAGGGTGGGGAGGGAGGGGGGAAAGCAGAGAGTGGGAGTGGGAGTGGGAGTGGGAGTGGGAGTGGGAGTGGGAGTGGGAGTGGGAGTGGGAGTGGGAGTGGGAGTGGGAGTGGGAGTGGGAGTGGGAGTGGGAGTGGGAGTGGGAGTGGGAGTGGGAGTGGGAGTGGGAGTGGGAGTGGGAGTGGGAGTGGGAGTGGAGTGGGAGTGGG